CCCTGGTCGAGGCTGCGTTCCGCGCGCCGGGGAGGGCATCGTGATATTTTGTTGATGAGGAGGAGAGAATGACGATGAGGAGGAGGAGGGGATACTGATGGGGAGCAGGAGGGGAGAGGAGACGATGCTGATGGGTTTGAGGGGCTGACGCTACTGGCGCTGGGCCCTCATAGCATGCCCGTATCAGGGGGGACGCAGCATCATCAATACGCTCTCCCGTCGACGCTCCTCGATCCCCCGCCCTTTTGCCCAAGGCTATGATTGAGGCAACGCGTTTCTTTGCATGATGCCAATGACGGGCACGGAAAGGCGTCAGCAGAACGCCGACCTATGAGCGTTTTCTTGCGCTGCTACTGCTGCTATTGATGCTGATGCTGATGCTGATGCTGATGCTTCTGCTGATGATGATGAGGATGATGGCGATCACGATGATGCTGCTGCTGCTGCTGATGATGATGATGATGATGATGATGATGATGCTGATGCTGATGCTGAAGCTGCTGCTGCTGATGATGCTAACGCTGAAGAGGAAGAGGAGGAGGAGGAGGAGGAGGAGGACAAGGAAGAGAAGGATGAGGAGGACGAGGATGAGGATGAAGAGGAGGATGCTGATGCTGCTGATGCTGATGATGATGATGGTGGTGGTGGTGGTGGTATTGGTGGTGGTGAAGATGAGGATGATGATGAGGACGAGGATGATGATGGGGATGAGGAGGATGAGGGTGAGGACGGTGGTGATGATGATGCTGACGATGATGATGATGATGATGATGATGATGATGATGATGATGATGATGATGATGATGATGATGATGGCGATGATGATGATGGCGATGATGATGATGGTGATGATGATGATGATGATGATGATGCTGATGATGATGTTGATGATGATGATGATGGTGATGCTGATGATGACGATGATGCTGATCATTATGATGATGCTGATGTTGATGTTGATAATGATGATGGTGGTCATGGCGATGGTGATGGTGACGGTGATGGTGATGGTGATGGTGATGATCATGATGCTGCTGATGATGATGAAGAAGATGAGGATGAAGATGAAGATGAAGATGAAGATGAAGATGAAGATGATGGTGGTGGTGGTGCTGGTGATGATGATGACGATGATGATGATGCTGATGCTGATGCTGATGCTGATGCTGATGCTGCTGATGATGATGCTGATGATGATGATGATGATGATGATGATGATGATGATGATGATGATGATGATGATTATGATTATGATGATGATGATGAATGATGATGATGATGATGATGAATGATGATGATGATGATGATGATGTGATGATGGTTGATGATGGTGGTGCTTCTGGTGTGATGATGATGATGGATTAGGAGGAGGATGAGAAGGAGGAGGAGGAGGAGGAGGAGGTGGAGGAGGAGGAGGAGGAGGAGGAGGAGGAGGAGGTGGAGGAGGATGAGGAGGAAGAAGGGATGGGGGTGGATGAGGAACAGCGGGAGGAGGAGCAGGAGGCCTGAGAATTCTTGCAGGTACGTAAGCTGATTCGCTAGCCCCAGCTGCGTGAGGGGGGCGAGGACTGGAGGGGGGTGGATATCATGGCTGGGGCCCTGACATTTCCCAGAATTCATGGCCCCTCTTCTTCTGTCAACACGTTGCCTGGCCCCCTCCCCCCGTCCGCGCACATGCCTCGGGCCACGATGCGCGCACCCCCTCTTCCTGGGCCCCCTCGAGGGCACACTGGGCAAGCTGCCCGAGTGCGCTGACCCAGCATGCCGAGTGGCGTCCGAGCAGATGGGGTCGAAGGATCGTGCCGCATCGTCGGTGCATCGGCCCTGCGGCTCCACGCGCCGCGTTGGTGCCTCGCGGTGCCCTCGATGCCTCGTGAGGGGCGCTCTGCAGGCCGGCTGGGTCTGCCTGGAGAGGCTGGGGTCCCCTCGCGCCAGGGCCACCTCGGCGGCGCCCGCAAGGGGGTGGGAGCGGCCTTCTGAGAAGGCCAGGGGGGGGGCTTCTTCGAAGGGCTCGGGGGCTGTTTCGAAGGGCTCGGGGGCTTCTGAGGAGGCTTCTTTGAAGCTCGCTCGGAGGGTCTCCAAGAAGGGCCCCCGCCTTCTCAGAAGCCCCCCCCCCGCCTTCTTGGAAGGCCGCCCCCCCTCGCGCCCCCCCCCTCCCCCCACCCTCTCGTGGGCGCCGCCACGCACCCCTCCGGCAGTTCCCGAAACAGAGGGCTCTGGAGAAGGCGGTGCCGGCTGGCCGCCACCGAGCGCGTTCCCCTGTTCGCGAGGCGCTTGCTGCTCGCAAGCGTCCGAGCAAAAGCGAACGTCCCTGCCTCGACGTAGTGGATCGCACATTCCACTCGGCGGATCCGGGCCAGTTGCGAGCAGCCACCCTGCGAGCAGTGGAGCGCGCTTGCCTGGCCCTGGCAGGCCCGCGCGCTCGTGCGGGGTGGGCCAACGCTCGCTCCTCCTCCTCCTCCTCCTCGTCCTCGTCCTCCTCCTCCTCCTCCTCCTCCTCCTCGTCCTCGTCCTCCTCCTCCTCCTCCTCCTCCTGCTCCTCCTCCTCCTACTACTCCTCCTCCCCCCCTCCCTCCTCCTCCTCCTCCTCCTCCTACTCCTCCTCCCCCCCTCCCTCCCCTCCTCCTCCTCCTCCTCCCCTCTCCCTCCTCCTCCCCTCCTCCGCCTCCTCCTTCCTCCTCTCCTGCCTCCTCCTCGTCCTCCTCCTCCTCCTCCTCCTCCTCCTCCTCCTCCTCCTCCTCCTCCTCCTATGCACCTGCACCGATCCTGGCTCTGCCCATCCTGGGTCCAGGATCGGCTCACGTGCCCTCCGATCCGGGAGGGCGTATGCACCGATCTAGGGCCCAGGACGAGCCTGGCAAGGATCGGTGCAGGTGTGTAGTTGGTGCCCTTCGAGTTGTGGCGTGTCTCGTCTGCATCTCTGGCACTCGTTCCCGAAACGTGGGCCCGAAGCGCCAGGTAAGCGCTTCAGGATCGCCTCGCAAACCGTTCGCAAGCGCTCGCGAAGTGCTTTCGCAGTGTTGTGCTAAGCGTCTCGCGGGCGCTCTCGAGCGCCTTCAATCATGTGTCATTTGTGTCCCACGTGTGGGCCTGCGCGCTATCGTGGGCTTGGGCCGCGCAACGTAGTTGCGTGCCTGCGTGCCTGCATTCCGGCGTGCCTGCGTGTGCTCACATGTTGGCTCGCTCGCGCGTTTGCGCGACTGCGCGCAAGCGTTCAAGCGCTCGCGCGCGGGCCCGCCGAAGCAGCAAAGCGACATGATAGTTACGTGCTTCATTGCGCATGGCACCCCACCTCTCTCCCCCTCTCCCCCCCTCCTCCTTCTCCTCCTCCTCCTCCTCCTCCTCCTCCTCCCGCTCCTCCTCCTCCTCCTCCTCCTTCACCAATTCCTTCTGCTCCTCCTCCTCCTTTGCCTTTTCCCGCCGCCCCCCTGCTCCTCTCCTTCGTCGTCGTCTTCCTCGTCGTCGCCCTCCCACCCCCCTTTCGGAGGGCGCCAGCCACGCCCGCACAGGTCCTGGCCACGCCGACCCTTGTCCCGGCACGGGTGCGGCAGGCTCGCCCGGAGGCGTGCAGCCGGCGCCCCCCCCCCCCGCCGCCCTGCCCGCCCGCCCTCCCCGCCGCGCGGCAGGCCGACCGGGCGGCCTCGCGCCCGAGGCTGGAGCCGGGCGCGGGCGGCCGAGGCACCGCGGAGGCCGGCGCGCGGGCGCTGCCGCTGGCCCGAAGCCTCCCTGAGACCCGCTGCCGCTGCTCGGGTGGTGCAGCAGCAGCAGCAGCAGTCACTAGCGGTAGCAGCCGCAGCAGCAGCAGCAGCAGCAGAAGCAGCAGTATCATTGTGATTATTCATGGTCGTATGGTGGCTGTCCTTGTCATGATTAGGGATCGGCGCGGTAGTAGTAGTAGTAGTAGTAGTAGTAGTAGTAGTAGTAGTAGTAGTAGTAGTAGTAGTAGTAGTAGTAGTAGTATAGTAGTAGTAGTAGTAGTAGTAGTAGTAGCAGTAGTAGTCGTCGTCGTCATGGTCGTCGTCGTCGTATTATTATTATCATTATTATTAGTAGTAGTACTAGTCGTCGTCGTATCATTATTATTATTATTATTAGCAGTAGTAGTAGTCGTCGTAGTCGTAATAGCCGTAGTAGTCGTAGTAGTAGTCGTAGTCGTCGTAGTAGTAGTAGTAGTAGTAGTAGTAGTAGTAGTAGTAGGAGTAGTAGTAGTAGTAGTAGTAGGTAGTAGTAGTAGTAGTCGTAGTAATATAGCAACAATAGTGGTAGTGAGTAGTAGTAGTAGTAGTAGTAGTAGTAGTAGTAGTAGTAGTAGTAGTATTAGTAGTCGTAGTAGTAGTAGTCGTAGTAGTAGTAGTCTTAGTAGTAGTAAGTCGTAGTAGTATTAGTAGTCGTAGTAGTAGTAGTAGTAGTAGTAAGTAGTAGTAGTAAGTAGTTAGTTAAAGAGTAAGTCAGTACTAGTACTCGTAGTAGTAGTAGTAGTCGTAGAAGTAGTAGTCGTAGTAGCAGTAGTCGTAGTAGTAGTAGTAGTAGTAGTAGTAGTAGTAATAGTAGTAAGTAGTATTTGTAGTAAGTCGTAGGAGTAGTAGTAGTAGTAGTAGTCGTAGTACTATTATTATTAGTAGTAGTAGTGGTAGTAGTCGTCGTAGTATGTAGTCGTAAGTAGTAGTGAGTAGTTGTAACAGTATTAGTGAGTAGTAGTGAGTAGTAGTAGTAGTAGTAGTAGTAGTAGTAGTAGTAGTAGTAATAGTAGTAGTAGTAGTAGTAGTAGTAGTAGTAGTAGTAGTAGTAGTAGTAGTAGTAGTAGTAGTAGTAGTAGTAGTAGTAGTAGTAGTAGTAGTAGTAGTAGTAGTAGTAGTAGTAGTAGTAGTAGTAGTAGTAGTAGTAGTAGTAGTAGTAGTAGTAGTAGTAGTAGTAGCAGGAGGAGGAGGAGGAGGAGGAGGAGAAGGCAGAATAGTCCCTCCCTCCTCCCTTCTCCCCCATGTTTTCGCAGCCAAGATGAGGCGGGTCTTATCACCGAGGGCCTCCAGACGAACGTCTTCGTCGTCCTTGCCGACGGCACCCTGCTCACCGCACCGGACGACCGCGTACTGGCTGGCACTGTGCGCAAGGTCGTTCTGCAGGTGGCGTCGAGGGAGAACGGGAGACAGGTGCCGCGGAATCATCGAGAGGCCCTTGTGATTCCCCATGTAGAAGCAGAGGGGGACTCAATAAAGGCATTTCGTGGTTTCCGGCTGCGAGGTTATTGGTTTCTTTCCTTATTCTCGAGTATGCTACGAAGGTTCTTTTTGGCATTAAAGGCACAACGCAGAAGAAACTGACAACCTTGTGAGGTGTTGGGCGTCTTAGCTCAACTTACATGGCACGCGGCTGGAGTGGAGACATCGCAAGTCGGTGAGGCGCGTGGTGCCTGGCGCAACCTGTGGCGCAACACGAGAGGAATGACGAGGGGAATTCGGAAGAGGGAGGAGCACGAGGACGAGTAAAACGAGAAGCCGGGGGGAAGAGGAGGTTGAAGAGGAGGAGGAGGAGGAATGTGAGGAGAAGGGGGCTGATGGGGAGGAGGTTTGGCTGGAGAGGGGTTACTTCGATGAGAGCGATGATAATCAAAATAAGTGGGGGCGGACATGAGATGAGTTATATCGATGATTATGATGTTGCTGATGATGATGTCGACGATGAGGACGATAACGCTGCTGATGATGATGACGATGATGATTATTGTGGTGGTGGTGATGATGAATGTTAGTTTTACGACGGCGAAGATGAGGAGGATGAGGAAGGGAAGTTCTCTTAGGATGATGAGACGGAGGAGGGCTCTCTGTCTGCTTTTCATTTCTTCCCGTCTTGGCCTCCTCTTGCCTGCCGCATTCACGGAACGTTCTCAGCTCGTGCGTGGCCTGAACTACGGAACACGGTGGAAGAGGCCGCGTGCTCCTGGGCCCAGCAGAGTATTCTTGTCATTTTTGCGGTTTCGTCCCTGCTGTAAGGTGCTTTTCGCTGGAGGGCTCGACCATGGCCTTATTGTCGTTCAGCACAGCCTTCGAACTTTCGCGCATAAGGTCGCCAGGGATCGGCTGAGACCGCCAGAGTTCGCCGATGACTGGCGAAGGCCGCCCAGGGCCGATGTGTAGCACGGGGTGCACGTTCGAACACGTCATACAGCAAGAGTTTGCTTGTAGCTCACGGGCGCGACTTGTCCCTCCTCCTCCGACGTCACGATCTTTTCGTGCCGTGGGCTTCACACGTTGCCTCGGCTCCTCCTCAATGAGGCTGCGCTTTTACGTCCTGGGTCGTCTTCCTATGCCCAGTCGCTGGGATCTGGGCGTCTCTTGGGCCCCTCCCATGGTCTGCCCTGGCAATTCTTATCAGATGCGTCCCGCCGTGGCGACCAGAACCAGAGGCGCGCGAAGCTGTACAGAGCGACTGCTGCGCCGTCGATCCTCCTCCTCCTCCTCCTCCTCCCCCTCCTCCTCCTCCTCCTCCTCCTCCTCCTCCTCCTCCGACGACGACGACGACGACGTCGCTGCGCCGGTGCAGAGCAAAAGGGAACCCTGCAGGTGGCGCGGCGGGAGGGCATCGCCGTCCGCCTCGAGTGCCCCAGCATCCACAGCATCGCCGACTGGGACGCCCGAGGGCGCCAACCGCCGCAGAGCCACAGCCCCCCCTTTTCAGCGGGCCGCCGGGAGCAGGGGCGTAAGCACGTCGTTGAGCGTTGGCCAGCGTGGACGCCAAGCCTTGGCATCGCTCGGACGTGTGCATTTTTCCGTCGGCGAGGACCATCGAGGAGCATCCTTGATCATTTCGCGAAAGAGCCCACGCACGAAACCAAAGAAACACACAGGAAATGGACGTCCGAGCGATGGCCCAAAGCAGTGTGCTTCTGGCAACCTATGCAGTGCAATCTAACCCTGGGAGGCAATCAGTAAACCCCCCTCCCCCCCCCCCCTTCATCAGAGGAAATTATAACGCTTCCGGCACCGGGGCCGGGGCGGAAGCGATATCCCCCGCAGGTCACCAGAGGTCCGTGGAGGGGAGGTCCCCGGAGGTTCCCAGGAGGCATGCAGAAAGGCCTCCACAAGCCTCTGAATGCCCGGTCCCCTTGTAGTCCAGAGCCCAGCGACAAGGCACACCTGCCCAGAGTCGCTTCCTGTGATTCTGTGCGTTTCTGTGAGATTCCTCAGAGATTCCTCTGATACTCCGATTGGCTTCTTTTGAGATTCCTTGCCGCTTCCATTGTGATTATTTTGGGGTTCCTTTGAGACTCCTCTGGTGTTCCTTTGATGTTATTCTGAGGGTCCCTTGAGGCTCCGGTCATATCCCTTTGATGCCCCATCCGGGGCCGGTGGATTATTGCATTTGTAATAAATGTGCTAACATATCGCGGGGGGGTTCGCGGAATGCGTCTGCGAAATCTCTCCGTGGACTCTCCCATAGGATCCCCTGAAAGAATCAATATGTGATTATTTTGGGACTCCTTTGAGACTCCTCTGGTGTTCCTTTGATGTTATTCTGTGGGTCCCTTGAGGCTCCGGTCATATCCCTTTGATGCCCCATTGCCCCAGAGAGCATCACATCGACATCCGGGGCCGGTGGATTATTTTATTTGTAATAAATGTGCTAACATATCGCGGGGGGGTTCGCGGAATGCGTCTGCGAAATCTTTCCGTGGACTCTCCCATAGGATCCCCTGAAAGAATCAATTTCCCTAGTGCGGTCGCAATAGGGATTGCTTATGTCCACGCGAGCCCGCGTTTTCCAAATTCCTTAGATTCCTTTGTGGTTCGTTTGAGCTGCCGCTGAGATGCCTTTGACATTTCTGTTGGGCTCCTTTGAGATTGCTTTGAACTTCCATTGGTTCCTTCGATATCATGCGTGCGATTCCTTGTGATATTCTTATGGGATTCCTTTGGGGGTTCTTTCAAGTTCCTCTGATATTCCTTCGACAATCCCTGAAGGGAGCATCACATCGACCTCCGGTGCCTGTGGATTATTTTATTTTCAATAAATGTGCTAACATATCGCGGGGGGGGTTCGCGGAATCCGTCTGCGATATCCCTCCGTGGACTCTCCCATAGGACCCCGTGAAAAAAACAATTTCCCTATTGCGGCCGCAATAGGGTTTGCTTATGTCCACGCGAGCCCGCGTATTCCAGATTCCTTAGATTCCTTCGTGGTTCGTTTGAGCTGCCGCTGAGATCCCTTTGCGATTTCTGTGGGGTTCCTTTGAGATTACTTTGAATTTCCAATAGGGATCCTTTGAGATTCTGCGTGGGCTTCCTTCTGAGATTCCTCTTGGATTCCTTTGGGGGGTCCTTTCAAGTATAGTTGCTTGCGGTGATTTCATTGTTTGTCATTTTTGATTTACCTTTGATTTCCGATGCGCGTCAGTTTCCCAGTGTTCTAGCAAGGCGGGAATGCATTGGCAAGCGTTCGTGCGCGTTGGTTCTTCAGGCTGTCGCCTCGCGTTGCCGCCAGCTTCGGGCCCGGGGGGGCAAATTAATTAATTATTTTTTTATGTGCTAACGATATCGCTGGAGGGAGCCGCCCAAAATAATTATTTATTTTATTTTCTGTGCTAGCGATATCGCCGGGGGGTTTACTGTTTGCTTGCCAGGGTTATGTAGAGCAATCCGCGTGGTGCAATCTATCTGGTGCAAACTGTATGGTGCAGTGCATTTGCCGATCTTGAAGTTGTCAGCTCCACTGCTCGCGCAATCATCCCACCCACCCGCCCGCACCATGGTTTGCAAAACCCCATGCGGAAACGATTGCGATGAGTGCTGGGTGCTGGCTGGTGCATCTCTGCGGCCGCGCTAGCTCGCGCATGCTCGCGCGTGCAGCGGCCAGCTAGTTTGGCGCGACCGACTGACCGCTCGGCACATGTCAGCGGGGACTCCAGTACGAGTCGGCGACTTGGGCGGGCGCGGTATCATGGCAACGTCGACAACGGTAGACACCACGATGAGAGTAGCGATGCCTGTGGCGATGTTGACAGCGACGACGGGGCAGCCCGTGACGGCGCCGATGCTGATCACGCTCGCGACGATAACGGCGTCTTCGCGTCGATGATTAAGGTTTTGGAAGGAGTTCGAAATGCGCGTGCGGCAGGCGCGAGAGTGTCCCGCGTGTTATTATTTGAAACGGATCGTGCCACCCCGGCGCGCGCGCGCAGGGGCGTTCGAACGATTTCGACACGCGCGCGCGAGTCCCGTTGGAAGCATTTTATGAACATATTGAACAACCGATGGTTGTCTTAAGACTTCGCAAGAACGCCCCTGTGTATTTTCTGTGTTTTTGACACCCGGTTTTGGTGTCTCTGAGCGGATATCGGCGTGCGCGCGACGACGAACGTTTGTGCACTTCGTTGCTTTTGTTTTGCAAGGGCTCTTCGGAAACTTATGACGTTTGATAAACGAGTGTGCGCGTTTTTTGTAAAGGATGGCGAGGGGGGAACGGTGCTGGTGGGCTAGGATGGTATGGATTGAAGCAAAATCGCTTGTAAATTGCAATGCGAAACACGGGTGCCGAAAATCCCTGGGGGGGGGTCGCGTTTATTCCTTTTCCAGAAAGGAGAATCAAAGTGGTGCAATCCACCCGTTCTCAACCTGAAGTTGTCTACTCCACTGCTCGCGCAGACATCCTGCCCGCCCGCCCGCCGCGTGGTTTGTAAACCCCATGCGGGAACGATTGCGATGAGTGCTTGGCGTTGGCTGGTGCATCTATGCGGCCGCGCTAGCCCGCGCGTGCTCGAGAGCGCAGCGGCCAGCTAGTTTGGCGCGACCGACGCGACCGCGGTGGCGTTGACCGCTCGGCACATGTCAGCGGGGACTCCAGTACGAGTCGGCGACTTGGGCGGGCGCGGTATCATGGCAACGTCGACAACGGTAGACACAACGATGAGAGTAGCGATGCCTGTGGCGATGTTGACAGCGACGACGGGGCAGCCCGTGACGGCGCCGATGCTGATCACGCTCGCGACGATAACGGCGTCTTCGCGTCGGTGATGCAGGTTTTGGAAGGAGTTCGAAATGCACGCGCAGCAAGCGCGCGAGGGTGGGCCGCATGGTATTATTGTAGTGGCCTTCGGCCAGTGCCGCCGATCCGGGGCGCTCCGACTGATGTGATCCTCCTTCGCCCTCGTCCCTCCTCTCTTTTCCCTTCCTTCCCCCTTTCATTCCGCATTTATCCAGTGGCCTTCGGCCTATCCCACCACCGTGCGTGGGTGGTGGGTCAGAGGCCTCATGGACGCTGGTTGGGATATCGTGGTTGGCCGGGACCTCTGGGGGCCTCTTGGAGGCCTCTTGGGGCTTCTTGGGGGCCTCTTGGGCCTCTTGGGGCCACTTGGGGGCCTCTTGGGGGTCTCTTGGGAGTCTCTTGGGGCTTCTTGGGGGCCTCTTCTGTGCCCCTTGGGGCCTCTTGGAGGCTTCTTCGGAGCCTCTTGGTGCGGGCGGGGTGGCACTCGAGTTCGGAACCCCCTCGGAGGCCACGATCCTTGTGAGGGGTGTCAAAAAACGCATCCGCCGGAAACTCGCACCCCCCCCCCCGCCCCCCCTTCCCCGGCAGAGCCACCCCGGCAACCCCCCCGGAGGCTGAGGCTCAGCCTCGAGGCTGTAGCTGAGACTCCTTGTAACTCACACGCCGGATCGGCGGATTTGACGCGGATCCTTTCACCCCAGCACGCGCGTAGGGGCGTTCGACTGATTTCGACGCGCGGACGAAACCGAAACCCGTTTGGTCGCATTGTACGAACATGTTGGGCAACCTATGATTTTCGATAAATTCGCAAGAGAACGCGCGCGAAACATTGTTTCTATATGTTTGTTGGGCGTTCGATTTGAAATCTTGCCCGAACCGAGTTTGTTTCGTGTTTAATTATATATATATATATATATATATATCTAAATGTGGCATGTGCGCGCGACGGCGCGCGCGTGTGCGTGTCGTCGCATCTTTTGCGAGGGGTTCATGGCAGTTAATTGTTTTTGGTAAGTCAGGGTTCGCGCGTATGTGATGTTCGCGAAGGATGGGGGGGGGGGGGTCGATGGCAGTTGGGCTGGGATGGTCTGGTTCATATCTAGGATGGACGATGGGGCAGAACCGCATGTAATTTGCAATGCGAAAAATGTGGGGCCGATCATCCTGGGGGGCGTCGAGTATATTCTTCGTTTGGAATCGGATAATTCATGTGGTGCAATCCGTGTGGTGCAATCTATGTGGGGCAGTTGATTTTCACGAACGGGCTGACGCATTCCATGCTCTTGCAAACATCCCATTTCAGCATAACCCATGTGGTGGCGATTGCGATGCATGCTTGGCGTTGGCTGGTGCATTTCTGCGGCCGCGCCGACCCTGGCACGCGCGCGCGCGGCGGCCAGCTAGCTTGGCGCCGCCGACGCGGCCGCGGTGGCGTTGACTTCTCGGCACATCTCAGCGGGCACTCCAGTACGAGTCGGCGACTTGAGCGGGCGCGGTATCATGGCAACGTCGACAACGGTAGACACGGTGATGATCGTTGCGATGCTGGTGGCGATGTTCGCGCCGACGGAAGCGCGGCTAGTGCGGGGGCCGATGCTGATCGCGCCGACGACGATGACGGCGTCTTCGCGTCGGCGATGAAGGTTTTGGAATGAGTTCGACATGCGCGCGCGGCCGACGTGCAAGAGTGGCCCTCATGGTTTCATTTGACGCAGATCGTGCCCCCCCAGCACGCGCGTAAGGGCGCGCGAATGATGTCGGCGTGCCCGTTTGGCACAATTCCGTGAACAGGTTGAGAAAAAAAAACGCATAGTTCCCCAATGGATTGGCACGATCGCGCGCGCGTGTTTTTTTGTTTTTTTTTTTTTTGGTTTTCCCAGTCTCCCAAATCAGACTTTGCCTCTTGTGGGGGTCATAGCGGATTCAGATGTGTAGGTGGCCTACGTCGCCGATTGCGATGGCCTGACCGGGTGCCCGGGTGCCAGGGTGACCGGGTGCCCAGGGGTGCCCACGGGTGCCCGGGGGTTCCCAGAGTTGCCCGGGGGTGTTCCGAGGTGCCCGGGGGTGCCCAGGTGCCCGGATACTCTATCGCCTTGCAGCCTTTTAAAACTATAGCCGTATATCCGTGTTGCCCCAATTACCCTAAAGCCCATACAGCCCTATTGCCCTACAACCCTAAAACCCTAAAGCCTTATAGCCCTAGCCCGTATAGCCTTATAGGCTTATCGACTTATAGCCTTATAGCCCCATAGCCCTACAGCCCTACAGCCCTATAGCCCTATAACTCTCTATGCCCGCTCTTTTGCGGCACTCACCGGGTTAGTGGGCAGACTTAGCCACAGTGCTGCAATGGGGCGGGGCCGGGCTGTGACTGCCCATGTGTTGGACCCTCCCGCCCGCCCCTCTGGTTGGGCCGGCGGGCACCCCCTCTGACGTGAATCTTGTTGTTTTCCGCGCGCTGGGTTTGCCGAAGGGTCTACGTGAGCAGTGTCCTCTTTTCCCCCTCCCCCCCGTCCCGTTTCCGCCCTTCCTTTCTCCACACCCTGCTGGGCCGACAGGGGCGCCCGAATCGTTGCGGCTGGGGCAGCGGGGCAGCCTGGCCGTGCACAGCATCGCATGCACCCTCCGCGGCTCTCAGACCCTTCAGCCTAGCTCTCAGACCCTTCAGCCCAGCATGTGCCCTGGAACTTCGTCGCTCTCGCCATCGTGGGTTTACGAAGCCCATTGGCACAGTTATCAAGAAACAACCTCCCCTACAACCCCAGTTGAAACCGTCCAAGCACTGCTCGGTCAGGGCGTCCGCCGAGGGAGCCTAGCGTCCGGAACGGCAGACCTTACCCATCGGTGGGGGTGCCTTGCGGTTCGCCGCTTCGCCGTTGGCGGGTCGTCCCGGGGAATGTAGAGGCGGACGGAAGCAGATGTGCACCGCCCGAGCAGTGGGTCGGCCGCTGGCGACCTTCTTGCGAGGGAAGGAGCATATTGACCATGACCAGGATGTGCCAGGATCTCGTCGACGTCGATTCTGATGAGGTCCATGCTGGCCGCCGCCGATCCGCGAGGATGATCCATGAGTTGACGCTGACCAAGATAGACGGTGACCGAGATCGGCACAAAGTTTCCGCGTTCAGTCTTGGCGATGGTCATCGTTTGATTTTCCTCCATTCTTGAGCAACCGCTGCCACGGCGGGTGCCAACGGGCAGCGAGCGCCGCCAGCGCAGGCTCCCCCCCGGGATGTACAGGAAGGGCGAGCTGGCCCATGGCTTTATCCGGCCCGGCCCGCGTGTGTCCCCGTGCGCGCTATCACGAGGGTTGCCTGTTGGGTGGGAATTGGTTCACAGCCCACAGCCCTTGGACTGCGCCTTTTTGCAAGTTCCTCGCCTCATTCTAGGTGAATATCATGCAAGACCGCACATGGCAAATGCTCCTTCCTCCCCTCCCTCCCTCCTTCCGTCCCTCCCTCCGTGTCTACCTCTACTCCTCCCTCTTTTCCTGTAGCCTCTACCCTCTTCCTCCCTCCCTTGCTCTTCCTCCCTTCCTCTTCCTCCGCCTCTTGCTCCTCTGGATCCTCCTAGCCCGAAGCTCATGCGAGGAGGCCCTGCAGAAGGCGACGGGGGCTTGAGAAGTGCTGATTCGCGCGGGCGGGTGGGCTGGAGGCTGTCTGCTCGTGTCAGCGCGGCGGCCCCGACATGCTCATGTCTCCTCTCGCCGCGGCTGGGGCCTCGTCCATTCTCAGTCGCCGTCGGGTGGCTCCGTGTTTCATGACTGGGCATTTGCTCGGTCCGTAGCCATTTTGCTCAAGCTGTTTCTGGCTCAGCATTTGGGCGAAGATTTTTTTGGTTACCATCCAGAGGTATCCCTGCACAACACTGCAGCACCCCCAGTCCAGGCACTGCAGGGATGTCGAGTTTTGCGGGCGACAGTCTCCCTCCCGTCAGCGAGCAGCGACCAAGGCCAGCGTTGGCGTGGGCGGAGGCATCCAGCGTGGCGCCCGCACCGAGGCAGCCCTCGACTCCCAGGACGACCCGCGGGCGCCCCTGCGGAGTGGGCCACGGCGGGGCCGTGCCGGGCTCCGGCGGCCTGATCCGCAGGCCCCGTGCGCTCCAGCTTCCTCAGAGTTCGGCATCGGCACCTGCGACTCTCGAAGACCTTCCCTACATGAGGAGACTCGACATGCGGATCTGCTAGCCTCGCATGGGCAGCCGCACGTCACGCCGGCTCGTGGCCGGAGCCTTCCCGGTGCCAGAGTTGTTGCCGGGAGTGGTGGGGCTGGCCAGCGGCGGGGCAGTAGGCAACCAGACGAGCGACATCGAGTTCACCTCCGTCCAGGATTTGCCGAGTCCTGGCCAGAGCATCTCCCGCAGGCCGCCCGTCTTCGACGGGCGTGAGAGGATCCCGTGCTCCCTGGACCCCAGCCGGTTCGGCCGCGAGCCGGCCGGGCCCACGCGCCCCGAGGGGGCGCTTGGCCAGGCTCGCCCCCGCCACGCCACGAGGTCGCTGTCGGCGAGGGGGGGACGGCGCCCGGCCTCCAGCAGCTGAGGTTTTTTTGACTGGCGCAGACGGGGATGGACGAAGACACGACACGGCGACGAGCGACGGACGAAGACGAGAGAACTTGAGACATGAACGCTCTAGACCTGTGGTCAGAGGGCTGGTGGGATTACAAAGACCCTACCAGATGGCATCTGGTATTCTAGCAAGCCCCAACGTGCCATGGGACACGGTGAAGCATGGCGTGTGGAGCCCACCTGAAGTGCACGCTCGCCGCAGCTTGCAGATATGATCCTGTGGCGGGCCCTTTTTGACCCGGGCCTTGTCGTGAGGTGCACAGTTGACGCAGTAGTCCTGGTGGGTTTCACAGTTTGACGTCCCCGCTCATGCTCGCCCTGTCTGGGATCGCCGCGCTCGTGTTTGTTATCCATCGATCTATTGCAACTCTCGTGCAGAAAGACTCGCGGAGCAGCGACCTCATTTAAAACTAGTTGCGTCGTGCTTGCGATTTCTTCTAGGGCGTCGCCAGAGCCCACGGGGGCCCCAGTCGAGTGCCAAAGAGGCATCCACCATGCGTCGAGATCAGTTCTAGTTGCAATATACTGAGCAACCAGTTGCTAAGTTGCGAGGCTCTGGCAACGCCAACGTTCATCTCAGCATAGTGTCCATGAATGGCCAGGGACACGGTGGCGGATGGCACGCGGAACGCGCCTGAATGGTTCGCTCGCTTGTATTTAGAGGGCTGACTTTGAGTTTTTTTTTGACGGGAATATCGTCGTGAGGTGCACGGATGACTTACATGTCTTCGGTGAAACCCAGCCAGGTCTCCGCCTGCCGAGATTTTACTTCAGCAGGCGTGTTAATCTTGGCAGTGAGGGCGTCGTTGTCAGAACAAAAAGTGTTGTGCGTCGGTTTACACGACGGTCCAGTTCGATGATAGTTCAACTCTGCCATTTGAAGTGCACGTTCGCCAGCACCTGGGGGCTTGATTTTGTGGCGGGCCCGCCCATGCCATTCTTTCTATTGTCCAGGATCGCCCCACTCGTGGTCCGCTTCTTAGGTCCTGGTGGATCTCACGGCTTCGAGCATTTGAAAAGTGGCTACGGCGCGTGGAGCGTGTTGGAGGCTGAGTCTGCGCATTACGTCCCAGTGGCTAAGGTGATGGAGGAGGTGAAGGGGGAGGAGGAGGAGGAGGGGGGGGTGGAGGGCATTGTAAGCTTGCTTCTAGTCCTTGAGACCCTTGCGACTTCAACGCAATCTTCAATTTCGAGCGGGACGCTTTGCGACCGAACGCGGCCTTCAGCATGTATTGTTGTTGTTGTTGTCGTCGTCGTCGTCGTCGTCGTCGTCGTCGTCGTCGTCGTCGTTGTTGTTGTTGTTGTTGTTGTTGTTGTTGTTGTTGTTGTTGTTGTTGTTGTTGTTGTTGTTGTTGTTACTGTTTCTCTTTTTTCCTGTGGATGGTCGCTGAATCACTTGGCGAGCTCCCGCATCACCATACGGTGGTTTTGTGGAGTTGGGCAGTTGCATCTTGCTGAAGTGATGCCTCGCCTTCAGGAGGGACTTCCTTTGGGCGCCATCATCATTTCGCCATCAGCAGCTTTCATACATGTCTTCGTTCTGCTTAGAACACACACTGTTGAAGTGCTTGTAATCGTTCGATACGACGGCCCTGTTTGATTATAGCTCAGTTAGCCCGCTTGAAGTGCACGGTTGCCGGCACCAGGAGGTCTAATATTGTAGTAGCCTCCGGCCAGTGCCGCCGATCCGGGACGCTCCGGATGATGATGATGATGATGATGATGATGATGATGATGATGATGATGATGATGATGATGATGATGATGATGATGCTGATGATGCTGAGGAGCTGTGATGATGATTGAATGCTGATGATGCTGATGATGCGGCTGCTGCTCATGCTGATGATGTGCTGATGATGATGCTGCTGATGATGCTGCGGATGATGCCTGATGATGATGCTGATGCTGATGATGCTGATGATGATGATGCTGATGATGCTGATGATGTGCTGCTGCTGATGATGCTGATGATGATATGCTGATGAATGCTGCGATGATGATGCTGCTGGGCTGCTTGCTGACGATGCTGATGATGATGATGATGCTGATGATGCTGATGCTGATGCTGATGCTGATGCTGATGCTGATGATGCTGCTGCTGATGATGATGATTATATGATGATACGATGATATGATGATGATGATGATGATGATGATGATGATGATGATGATGATGATGATGATGATGATGATGATGATGATGATGATGATGATGATGATGATGATGATGATGATGATGATGATGATGATGATGATGATGAGGATGATTATGATGATGATGATGATGATGATGATGATGATGATGATGATGATGATGATGATGATGATGATGATGATGATGATGATGATGATGATGATGATGATGATGATGATGATGATGATGATGATGATGATGACGATGGTGATGTGACGATGGTCATGGTGATGGTGATGGAGATGGTGATGATCCCGGCCCCCCCTCCCCACCCCCCCTCCTCTCTCCTGTCCCCCGCCCCCTCTCTCCTGTCCCCCCCCCTCTCTCCTTTCCTTCCCCCCCCCTCTCTTTCCCCTCTCCCTCCTGTTCCTCCCCTCCCCTCTCCTGTCCCCCCCCCCTCTCTCCCCCCTCTCTCCTGTCCCCCCCCCCCCCCCTCTCTCTTGCCCCCCCCCCCCCCCTCTCTCCTGTCCCCCCCCCCCCTCTCCTTTCCTCCCCCCTCCCCCTCTCTCCTGTCCCCCCCCCTCTCCTTGCCCCCCCCTCACCCCTCTCCTCCTTTCCCCACCCCGTCCCGTCTCCTGTCCCGCCCGGGCCTCTCTTCTCCTTTTCCCCCTCCCCCCGCCCCCTATCTCCTGTCTCAGGCCTCCCCGCTCCTGTACAATGAACTCCAGTATGAAAATACTCTCCCACTTCCCCTGATGGCGTCCTGGGAGTAGTACCGACCCCCCCCGCGTACTGTTTTTTTACACACAGGATTCCCGGGAGTTGGGTTTTCGCCTGCGTTGTTTTTCAAAATGCTGCTCTCGCTGAGGCGCCGGCCTCATTTCTGCTCCCGAATCGTTCCGAATCGTGCTCCCGCTGCAGCGTGGGCCTCATTTTCGGATCGGTGTTTTGCCTCCGTCGTTCAGGATGGCGTTCTCGCCCCAGCGCGGGCCTCTTTCTCGCGCGCCCATCCGCCCGCCACCACCGCGCCGCACCACGCCCCGCCCCGCCGCACGCACACCCACCGCCACTTCCACCCACCAACGCTTCACGCACGCACGCGCACCACCACCGCGCACCGCCACCACCACCGCACTACCCCACCCACCACCACCACGCTACACCGCGTCAAACCACATCACACGCGCGCACACACAGACACACGCACGCACGCACGCACGCACGCACGCACGCACACACACACACACACGCAAACAGACACACCACATACACATACACATACACATACACACATACACATACACATACACATACACATACACATACACATACACATACACATACACATACACATACACATACACATACACATACACATACACATACACATACACATACACATACACATACACATACACATACACATACACATACACATACACACGCACACGCACACGCACACGCACACGCACACGCACACGCACACGCACACGCGCACACGCACGCCCACGCCCACCCCACACTCACACGCACACGCACACGCACACGCACACGCACACGCACACGCACACGCACACGCACACGCACACGCACACGTACAGACGCACAGACGCACAGACGCACATATTCACAGACACACAGACACACAGACACACAGACACACAGACACACAGACACACAGACACACAGACACACAGTCACAGTCACACAGTCACACACACCACCACCGCCACCACCACCACCGCCATCACGCACGTAGGCACCTGGCCCACCACCAAACCACCAAGACGCCACACCACGTCACACCACAGCACACGCGCACACACGCACACACACACATACACACCACCACCACAACAACCACAACCACGCACACACGCACGCACGCACGCGCACCACCACCCACTACGCACACGCGCGCGGAGCCACAGGTCCGCTACGACACGCGTCCGCGGATAGAGAAAATCAGCGCCATGGTAAGGGATGGGAGGGAGGGGTAGGATGTCAGATGTTGACGCGAGCGCACCTAACTAGCCACCCCCCCTCTCTCCCCGCCCCTCCCTCTCTCCTTTCGCCCCCCCCCTCTCTCCTGTCCCCCCCCCTCTCTCCTGCCCTCCTCCCCCCTCTCTCCTTTCCCCTCCCCCCCTCGCGTGTCAACTCTTTCGTCGTTGGCGTCCCCCCCCGCAGAGCGAAGCTTGAGCGAGGCCCCCCCCCCTCTCTCCTTTCCCCCCCACCCCCTCGCGTGTCAATTCTTTCGTCGTTTGCGTCCCGCCCCCGACCCCCGCCTCAAGAGCGAAGCTTGGGCGAGCTCAAGCCCACGCTCTCAGAAACTCACACGCCGGATCGGCGGATTTTGTAGATTTTGGGGCTTATTTGTAATGACCGAAATCCATGCCGTGGCACGGCGCTGGAAATAATGACGCCAGCGCTGCAGCGGGAGCACGGTTCGGAACGAGCGAAAGCGCGGAAATGAGGCCAGCGCTGCAGCGGGAGCACGATTCGGAGCGAGCGGTAGCCCGAACATGAGGCCAGCGTTTCAGCGAGAGCAGCATTTGGAAAAAAAACTCTCTGCGGAAGCGCGGAAATGAGGACGCGTAGTCTGACAGAGCATGCCGTGGCGACATTCCAAAGTGGAAGGAAAGGGGGGCTTCCGCGGCCCAGAAAATCAAGGAATCGACACCGAATGTGTAATCACTTCCGATGGGTTTTGCGGGAGGCCGTTTTTTTGATTTGGGGCCCATTTGGATGGACCGAAAACCATGCCGTGGCATGGCGCTGGAAATAATGACGCCAGCGCTGCAGTGGCAGCACGGTTCGGAACGAGCGGAAGCGCGGAAATGAGGCCAGCGCTGGAGCGAGAGCAAGATTCGGAGCGAGCGGTAGCCCGAAAATGAGGCCAGCGCTTCAGCGAGAGCTGCATTTTGACAGAAAACCCAAGCGAGAGCCCAACTGCCGGGAATCCTGTGTGTAAAAACCAGTACGCGGAGCGGGGCCGGACATTCTCCGGACACCACCAGGGGAGAGAGGAGAGTAGTATTCATATTGTGTAATTGTGCAGTCGGAGGACGAGGAGAATGGGAGTCGGAGGAGCAGGAGAGGAAGGAGTACGCGGAAGAGGGGGACGAGGAGGGGCAGGAAGAGGAGGATGGAAATGACGAGGTCGAGGTAAGGTTGCGGAGCACCGGGGGAAGAGCACGCGGGGGAGGGGGGGAGCATGATGAATACGATGATCAAGAGGCTGAGGATGAGGATGAGGAGGAGGAGGATGCGAAGGAGGGGGATGAGGAGCAGGAGGGAAAGGGTGAGGAGGAGGAGGAGGAGGAGGAGGAGGAGGAGGAGGACGCCGTGGAGCAGGAGGGGGAGGATGAGAAAGCGCATGCGGAGGAGGACGAGGAGACGGACTCGGGGGAGACGGAGGTTGACAAGGGCAATGAGCAGGTGGAGGACGATGAAGACGAGACGGGGGAACAGGGAGGGGGCGGAGGGGATGCTTGTCGGAGTCTCTTCGGGGCGCTTCCGGGGGCCTCCTGTGGGCAGTTCGAGGGCGTTTTGGGAGACGCCTGGGGGGCCTCTTGGGAGCCTCTCGGGGGGCCTCCAGGGGCTTCCGGGTGGCTTCCTCGGTGCGTCTTGGAGGCCTTTTGGGGCCTCCTGAGAGCTCCTCGGGGGCGAGGGCTCGAGATGTCCGCTTGGGTACCCTGTCGGGGCACCCTCTGGGAGCCGTCTTGGGTGCCTCTTGGCCTGTTTTGGAGGCGTCTCGGGTCGTCTTGGGACCCTCTTGGGCCATGTTGGGAACCTCTTGGGGGACTCTGGGCCGTCTTGATGCGATCTGGGGGCCTCTTGGGTCGTCTTGGAGCGTCGGGAAGTGGAAGAGGCGAGAACCGCCGGATCTCAGTCCTCGTTATCCTGGTCCTGGCTTCGGTTTCAGTAGCCACGCGAGTTGCGGGCCGCATCGCATCCTCCCCGGGCCGACTGCGTATTTCCATTGCTTTGCGCACGGTCGTTTCTAGCGCAGCGCTCTGTTGGCCGCCCTCTCGTCTCAGTGCGTTTGTCCGCCTGGGGCTCAGGCCTGGGCCTCCCTTCGCTCGGGAGGGTGGCGGTCGAAACAGGCTCCCGGGGTGAGAGCCCTCAGCCTTACCGCGCGCAGACTGCTGCAATGTCAATTCCGACGACGCCTCCTCCTCTCCTGCTTTCCCACTCTCCCACTCTCCTCTTCTCGCACTCTCCCGTTCTCCTACTCTCCTCCTCTCCCACTCTCCTCCGCGTGTTCCTTCTCCTCCTCCTCCTCCTCCTCCTCCACCATTCCTTTTCCTTATGCATGACTCCTTCCTGTCGCATCCCGAGGCCAGTCGAAAGGGCGGGCCAGGTGTTTCGCCTGAGACTTCTTCACTATTTATGACCCTGATGCTCAACAGCTGACAACAGTTTCACAGAGGGCGGGTCGTTTTCAAAAAGTAGCTCTCGCCTTAGCGCCGCGCGCGTTCGTTTCGAAACATTTGCAAGAGTTTCACGGATTGAGGGCGGGCCGTTTTCAAAATGTGGGTCTCGCCTTAGCGTCGCACACATTCGTTTTCGAAGTTTGCAGGAGTTTCACGGACTGAGGGTAGGTCGTTTTCACTTGAGGCTCTCGCCTTAGCGCCGCGAGCATTCGCTTGAAATATTTAGAACAATTTTCACGGATTGAGGGCGGTTCGTTTGCAAAATGCGGTTCTCGCCTCAGCGTAGCGCGCATTCGTTTAACAATTTGCAGGATTTTCACGGATGGAGGGCGGGCCGTTTTCAAAATGTGGTTCTCGCCTCAGCGCCGCACATATTCGTTTTCAAAGTTTGCAAGAGTTTCACGGATTGAGGGCGGGTCGTGTTCACTTGTGGCTCTCGCCTTGGCGCTGCGCACATTCGTTTGAAACATTTGGGAACATTTCCATGTATTGAGGTTGGTTCGTTTACAAAATGTGGTTTTCGAATTAGAGCCGCGCGCATTCATTCTAACAATGTGCAAGGGCTTCATCGAACGAGGGCGGGCCGTTTTCAAAATGTGGTTCTCGCCTTAACGCCGCGCACTTTTTGATATAACAACTTTCCAGAACCTGTGTTTTCGAGCGATTCGGGATTGTCAGGGCGCAGCAGTTATGTCCGTTCGCGGTGTTGAAGTCCCAGGAATGGCGTTCTGGCAAGATTCAGGATCGTCAAGACGCAGCAGTCAGGTTGATTGACGGTGTTGAAGTCTTAAGAATGATTGACGTGTTTCAAGATTTTCGTACGGTTGTCTCCCAACGGGACATGTCCCTTAGTAGTGGAAGTGAATTTTTGTATGGCGCCTATTGAGAGGGAGCTTGGAGGGAGGGTGTATCCCAGCATCGTTGATGAGTCTTGGGTTTGCACTGGTCCTCCTCCTCCTCCTCCGCCTCCTCCTCCTCCTTCTCCTCCTCCTCCTCCTCCTCCTCCTCCTCCTCCTCCTCCTCCTCCCCTCCTGTCGAGGCCCGAACGGTCTGCCTGTGGGCTGCTAGACTGCGCGGGGCCCAGGGTCTCCCGTGCGCCGTGGCCTGATTGGCTAGCGGCGGGGACTTACCCTTCACGCCCCGCGTCGGCACGCGGCAAATAATCATGAGTGGGGAAGGATCAGAACGTTCTTATTTTTCCCGCCCATTTCCATCCCTAGCGTCAGCACTGTGGGTAGCCGCTGGCCTGCCCGCTGATATCCCCCGAGCCTGACGCCCTTGCTGGAGGCTGCCCAGGCCTGCTGGCGGCGAGGGAGCGGCTCCCTCTCTCCTCCCTCCTTCCTCTCTCTTTCCTGCTCATCCTCCTTATGCTCCTCTTCTTCCTCCTCCTCCTCCTCATCCTCCTGTCGAGGCCAGAACAGGCTGCCTACTGACTGCTAGATTGCGCGGGGCCCAGGGTCTCCCGTGTGCTGAAGAGGGTATTCGTTCGCGGCGGGGACTCACCCTGCACGCTCCGCGTCGGCATGCGGCAGAGAATCATGAGTGGGGGGGGGATCAGAACGTCCTTGTTGTTTCCCGCCCCTCTCTATCCCACGCGTCAGCACAGTGCGTAGCCGCTGGCCTGCCCGCTGCTATCCCCCGAGCCTGACGCCCTTGCTGGAGGCTGGCCAGGCCTGCTGGCGGCGAGGGAGCGGCTCCCTCTCTCCTGCCTCCCTCCTCTCTCCTTCCTGTTCATCCTCCTTTTGCTGCTGCTGCTGCACCTCCTCCTCCTCCTCCTCCCTCTCCTCCTCCATTCCTTTTCCTTAGAACTAGCTTCTCCCTGTCGCACCCCGAGGCCTGTCTTTAGGGCTGGCCGGGCGTTTCGCCTGAGACCTCCTCACCATTTGTGACCCTGAAGCTTATAATGTTGCAGCAGTTTTACGGATTGACGGCGGGTGGTTTTCAAATTGTGGTTCTTGCCGTATCGCCGCGCTCATTCGTTTTTTTAACATTTTGCAGAAGTTTCACGGATTGAGGGCGGGCCGTTTTCAAACTGTGGCGTTCGTCTTAGCGCCGTGCACGCTCGTTGTAAGCATTTGCTAGAGTTTCACGGATCGAGAGCGGTTCTTTTTCAAAACGTGGTTCTCGCCCGAGCGCCGCGCGCATTTGTTTGAACCATGTGTGTGGGAGTTTCACGCATTCCCACGATCAACATACTAGGGATGGTGCTTGGGAAAGATCCAGGATCATGAGGGTGTCATAGTTACGTTGGTTCGCGGTGTTGAAGTCCCAGGAATGGCGTTCTGGCAAGATTCAGGATCGTCAAGACGCAGCAGCCAGGTTGACTGATGGCGTTGAAGTCTTAAGAATGATGTTTGACGTGCTTCAAGATTTTCATACGGTTGTCTCCCAACGGGGCATGTCCCTTAGTAGTGGAAGTGATTTTTTGTATGGGGCCTATTGAGAGGGAGCTTGGAGGGAGGGTGTATCCCAGCATCGTTGATGAGTCTTGGGTTTGCACTGGTCCTCCTCCTCCTCCTCCGCCTCCTCCTCCTCCTCCCCTCCTGTCGAGGCCCGAACGGTCTGCCTGCGGGCTGCTAGAACGCGCGGGGCCCAGGGTCTCCCGTGCGCCGTGGCCTGATTGGCTAGCGGCGGGGACTTACCCTGCACGCTCCGCGTCGGCACGCGGCAGAGAATCATGAGTGGGAGGGGATCAGAACGTCCTTGTTGTTTCCCGCCCCTCTCCATCCCAAGCGTAAGCACTGTGGGTAGCCGCTGGCCTGCCCGCTGCTATCCCCCGAGCCTGACGCCCTTGCGCGCGCATTTGTTTGAAACATGTGTGTGTGTGTGTGTGTGTGTGTGTGTGTATGGGAGTTTCACGCATTCCCATGATCAACATACTAGGGATGGTGCTTGGGAGAGATTCAGGATCATGAGGGTGTCATAGTTACGTTGGTTCGCGGGTTTTGAAGTCCCAGGAAGGCGTTCTGGCATGATTCAGGATCGTCAAGATGCAACAGTCAGCTCGATCCTTTGCGTTGGAGTCGCGAGAATAATGTGTTGGCATGCTCCAGGGTTTTCAAATGATGTCTTCCAACGAGGCCGTTCCTTCAGTGGAAATGAACCGTTGTAGGGGTCTATGAACAGGGAGCTTGGAGGGAGGGTTAATTCCAACATCGTTGATGGCTCTTGGGTTTACACCAGTCCTCCTCCTCCTCCTCCTCCTCCTCCTCTTCAAACCGTTCATGTTCGGGGCCACGGTATCCTCAAACCGTTCATGCTCGAGGCCACGGCATCTAGGCCATGGGCACGATTCTGGCGCCTCGCCTCGCCCTCCAACCTCGGGCCGCGCGCGCCTGGCCAGTGCTCTTCGAAGGCCGCTCGCGTCCCCCTTCTGGGGTGGGCAGGCGGGGCGATCGGCTGGGCGGAGGGAGGGGGCAGCTTACAAGGTTGCAAATCCGAGGAGAGCGGGTGCTGCCGAGAGGTCGAACATCCTGTCCTGCTGCGCCCACCGCAGCTCTGGTCGAGCGGGAATGTTGCTAGAGCGCGTCAGAGCGCGAAGCGAGCAGCGAGGAGCGAGCAGCGAGGCGCGAGGAGCGAGGCAAGAGGCGCGAGGAGCGATGCCAGAGGAACGAAGAGCGAGGAGTGATGAGCGAGTAGTGAGGAGCGAGGAGCGAGGAGCGAGGAGTGACGAGCGAGGGGCGACGAGCGAGGAGCGAGGAGGATGAGGAGGACGAGGAGGAGGACGAGGATGAGGATGACTGGTTATCTTGAATACACATTGGACGACTGATATTATTAGTATACATAACGCTATTCATAACACGATTGCTATTTTTATTATTAGTCGTAGTTGTAGTAGTAGTAGTAGTAGTAGTAGTAGTAGTAGTAGTAGTAGTAGTAGTAGTAGTAGTAGTAGTAGTAGTAGTAGTAGTAGTAGTAGTAGTAGTAGTAGTAGTAGTAGTAGTAGTAGTAGTAGTAGTAGTAGTAGTAGTAGTAGTAGTAGTAGTAGTAGTAGTAGTAGTAGTAGTAGTAGTATAGTAGTAGTAGTAGTAGTAGTAGTAGTAGTAGTAGTAGTAGTAGTAGTAGTAGTAGTAGTAGTAGTAGTAGTAGTAAGTAGTAGTAGTAGTAGTGGTAGTGGTAGTGGTAGTGGTAGTGTAGTAGTAGTAGTAGTGTAGTAGTAGTAGTAGTAGTAGTAGTAGTAGTAGTAGTAGTAGTAGTAGTAGTAGTAGTAGTAGTAGTATTCGTAGTCGTAGTGTAGTATTAGTAGTAGTAGTAGTAGTAGTAGTAGTAGTAGTAGTAGTAGTAGTAGTAGTAGTAGTAGTAGTAGTAGTAGTAGTAGTAGTAATGGTATTAGTAGTATGGTTAGTACTAATGTATCGCAGTAGTAGTACTAGTGGTAGTCGCAGTCGTTAGCCCGCTTGAAGTGCACGGTTGCCGGCACCAGGAGGTCTAATTTCATAGCGGGCCCGCCCATGCCCACCCTATCTAGGATCGCCCCACTCGTGGTCCGCTTCTTAGGTCCTGGTGGAAATCACAGCTTCGAGCGATTCCACAGTGGAGTGGAGCCACACCATCTTGGAAGGTGTCGGACATTCCCTAGGTCTCCTCTTCAGCAGGTCTCCGCAAGCCAGGGTCTCATTTTCCGCAGGCGTGCTGGCTGCGGCAGAGAGGGCGTCGTGCTCAAAACAAAAAGAAAGATGACTGGGCATTTGCTCGGCGCTGGTGCCTCGGTGTCGGTCCGAGGTGCTACCCTGAAGCTCTGAAGGCTGGGCACTGGCCCGTCCGCATGTGCCCCGGCGTCGGCCGAGGTGCTCGCCGGCGTGGCAGGTTCTAGAGAGAGCGCGTATCACCAGCAGCCTCAGGAGCCTCTGGCTCCTATCTTGCTCCTCCTTGTGCTCCTCCTCTTGCTGCTCCTCTTCCTCCTCCTCCTCCTTCCTCCTCCTTATTGCGAAGGCCTTGTGGCTGGTGTCGCCGACCCTGAAGGGACACGACGACGACAACGGCGGCGGCGGCGGCGACGCTGACGTGGGCCAGAGTCCTCAGGGATGCTTCCTCGGGTCTCTTCGGACGGCTCTCGGGGGCCTCTGGGGAGGATTTTTGGGGCCTCTTGGGAGCCTCTCGGGGGCCTCTTGGGAGCCTCTTGGTGGCCTCTTCGGGCTTCCTGGGGACCTCTTGCTCCTCCTCTTGCTCCTCCTCCTCTTGCTCCTCCATTTCTCCATGTCTCCATTTCTCCATTTCTCCTCCTCCACCTCCTCCTCCTCCTCCTCCTCCTCCTCCTCCTCCCACCCCACCTCCCAGGAGAGCTGCTTCATCTGCTCCACGTCGCGCCTGGTGAAGCCCGTCAGGAGTGTGGAGGCCCCGGAGCTGGCCGCCAGGAAGCAGTTCGCCTCCAGCGGGCCCTCCTGCGGCGCGCAGAAAGGGGGGGGCCGGGCGACGGGGGAGCGGCCCTCGGAGAAACCCGCCCGCCCGCCTTCGCAGGGGCCCTTCGCACAGGGGGCCCGAGCCCTCACGAGGGGCCCCCGCGCGCGCCCCTCCCGCGCGCGCCGCCGGAGGTCTGGCGCCCACCGCGTGGAGGCCCTGGTGCGGCAGGCGGTGCTGGGCAACTCCGAGCCGCTCGCGGCCTAGGCGCGGAGACCCCCCCCCCCTCGCGCGGCAGCCCTGAGGCCGCGGAGGAGGGCGATCGGCCCTCGCAGTCTTCACGGAGTCTTCTGCGTAGTCTTCGCGGCCCAGCTGTGGATGCCCCCCCGCGCGGCGGCCCTGAAGCCTCCCGCCCCGTCGCGGCCCCCGGGTCTGGCCGCTGCCGCGGCCGCCGCCGGGGAAAACAGGCGCGCATGGTGATGTTCATGATTGTGGTGACGGTGTGACGACGGTGATGAGGATTACGGGGTTCATGAAGTTGATCACCACCCACCAAACCACCCCACTCCAACCCGAAGGCCCCACTTTGCCCTCCCTTCCCAGTGGGAGGGGTGGCGTCGGGGAACATTGGAAACACATATATGGAACCCGTTCCCCCCGAACCAGAAATTCGGGTCTTCCGGTTGGGTTGGAGTGGTCTTGTAGGTGGTCAGTTGATGGTGATGGAGTGATGATGATGATCACTATGCGCCAGCCTGCTTGCCGGACCAGATTTCCCACGCGGAGCGTCCGACGTTCGGGCGGGGCGATCCAGGACGGACGCGGCTGAAGGTCTCCAACTTGTAGGCGGCCCATTATGTCTTTCTCGGCCGAGCGCGTGCTCTTGGGTGCCATGTATGGTGTACCCTCTCCGAATTCTCGGCCACGTTGTCTGCCAGGGAAGGAGAAGACTTTGCGAAAATGATGGTCGCCCGTGCTCGGGTCTTCACGGCTTTGGCTGACTGCAAAGCCACGCTCTCGGGATGCACGAGACCTCGCAGAGCCACCGCAGTCTCGAACCCTAGGGCCCACCTGTGGTCTCGGGTCCGCTCCATGGTCCAGGTTCGAGCCGACGAGTTTGCCAAGCTGGGCGCCAGCCACGGAATGGCGGCCCAGGATGACGTGCTTCGTCTCGAGGGTTTCTTGGATCTTGCGTCTCGGACTTGCAAGCTGAAGGCTCGTCTCGCCGCCCGCTGTGTGAAGGAAGAGCTGCACGACCATCAGGCATTAGAGGCGATTCGGCTCATCGACCCCGGGCTCTGTGCTCCCCTCGAAGGTCTGGAGGACCCTCCCTGCTCGAGGTTCCACCGCGTGTCCCCGTCTCCCATCGCCTCCCTTCTGTTGACCCGCCCCTGCTGCTGCTGCTGCTACTGCTGCTGCTGCTGGGTCTTATAGAGGCTAGGGTGGAGGTGGGTGAGGAGGAGGAGGAGGAGGAGGAGGAGGAGGAGGAGGAGGAGGAGGAGGAGGCCGAGGCCGAGGCCGAAGGCTTCGGTTTGGGCTGCAGGGATGCCCCGAGAGGTGAAGAATCTTTCTGTTTTGGAGGCGGGTTTCCCTGGTAGGGGCCATCTCCTGTGCACCCCAGTTCGCTGTGCACCGTAGGCAGAGAGGCCTTTGCAACTTTGCGATCCTTGCTGCCACGGGCTTCTCAGGCTCACGGGTGGGTCGGCGAACATTGTGCGCAAGCGGCTTCGAAGGCGAACGCATCCTACGGATGGGGGTGGGAGTTCGGGTAGTGTGTTTGGGGTGGGGTCGCCATGTCGGGGGCCCGCCCCGGAGGGATAAAACCTTTGGGATGGGGAGGCCTGACAACTGCCCTTCCGATTGGCGACCCCGCCGCATTTTTCTTCTATCCCCCCTTGACCTCTCGCGCTGAACCTCCTACCCCTCCTCCTTTTCCTCGCCGCCGCCCCCTCCTCGCTCCGCCCTCCCTGCTCCCGAGCCCCCCCCCCCGCCCGCAGCTCCCCCCGAGGCCGCGAGGCTGCCCCGCCGCCCGCCCGCCGGCGCGCTCGTGCTCGCGCGGGACCCGCCGGCGCGCGCCCCCCGCCTGCGGGCGGTGCCGCGGCCGGGGGCGCGCCGCGGGGCCTTCGGCGGCGATGGGCGCGGCGCTCCAGCAGCTGCTGCAGGGGCCGGCCGCGGCGGCCGCACCGCCGGCGCCGGCCTTCGCCTCCGCCGCGGCGCCGCTGGCGCCCGCGGCGGCGGCCGCGGCAGCGGCGCGCCGTGGCCGCCGTGCGCCAAAGGGTGTCCCTTGGGCAGAGGGGTCCTGGGCCTCTGGGGCCCTGCGGGGCAGCGCCACGGGAGGGTGCAGGGCTCCAGGGAAGGCCACACGCGGGCGGGGCTAGGGCCGGGATCAATCGTTCCAGAGCGTGTCGGAACACTCTCAGAGCGTACCGGAGCGCTCTGGAAGCGCCAGAGGCCAAGCGCACCTCAGAATAGACGTACCCTGGAGAGGGTGCCTCCGCGCCTACCTCGGGACGCCAAAAGGCTGCTTTTTCGCGTCCAAGGTGGCTGGAAGTGTGACCGCTGCGACACCTCACTCGGGGCACGTCGTCCTGGGGGTACGCTTCGGGCTTCCCCAGACATGTCCCCAGGTAAGCCCCAGGGCCCTGGAACCCTTCGGCGCCCAGGGCCGCCTCGGCCCATGGCGGCGCGGAGGTCCAGGGTGCCTGCAGCCGCGCGCCGTGGACGCTCCGCGCGCCGCCGCCGAAGCGGAATCCGTGCGCGCGGCCGCTGCAGTCGTGGCCGCGGCGGCGGCGGCCGGCCACGTGGTGCTGGCTGGCGGCGCGGCGCTGGCGGCGGCGCGGGGGCGTCGCCGCCGAGGAGGGTCGCCGGGGCCGCGCTCTCGGCGGCGGCGTCTCGCGGACGTGGCGGCGCGTGCTGCCGTCGCGCCCGAGGACGTCGTGCTCGTGTACGATCCCCTCTGCGACGCCGCGGCGCAGGTCCACGCGGCGGTGGAGTCGGAGAACGCGATGGCCCTCCCGCCGCCCTCCGCCGCCTCCTCCCCCCGCCCCCCATCTCGGAGGCCCAGAGGTGGAGACCAGCTCCAGAATCGGCGACTGCCTCCGCCGGGAGAGGATGATCCCGATTTCAGTGACGGTGGCAATACTGTGACTTCGCAGGTGCTCAGGTGGCCGAGGTTTTCCCACCTGCCCAAGTTCCAGGATCGTCTCCCCCCGGTGGAGGCCCCCCCCCCCTGTGTAGGTACTGCAGCTGTTGGTGCCAATGTCCAGGCTCCCAATCATCCCCTCCTCACCCCGACTGGTGCACCCCCCTGCCGCCATGTCCTCCTTCTCCTCCTCCTCCTTCTCCTCCTCCTCCTTCTCCTGTCTCCTCCTGCTCCTCCTCCTCCTCTTCCTCCTCCTCCTCCTCCTCCTCCTCCTCCCCCTCCTCTTCCCAACCCCCTTTCCCCCTTTCCGCTCAATCGAGTGCGTGCAATGGCGCTGGACGTCTCTCTGGCCGCTTTGGTCGAGGCGCCCGCGCGCCACGCCGTCCTCGGGTTGCGGAGCCACCTGTCGGCGCTGCGCCAATGTCGAGCCCAGCACGTGATCCGCGAGAGGCAGTGCCGAGTTGTCTGCCCCCCCCTTCCTGCGACCTCTTCCTCCCTCCTCCTCTCCCTTCGCCCTTCCTTCCTTCCTCCTTCCTCCTCTCCTCTCCCCCCTCCCTCCTTCGCCCTTCCCCAGCGCCTCCATTCGGTGAGCGAGGGGGAGCCCCCTCGCACTGGGCGGTGCCCGTGGCCCTGTCAGGCCTGTCGGCCGGGCAGCCCCCCTGGCGGGTTAGCCCGAGGCGCATTGGTGAAGTTCTGCGCCCCAGGTTGGCCAGGCGACTGCGGTCGATGCTTTGATCTGTGCCTCCCTGTGGTCGTGCAAGTCCTCCGTGCGCAGTGTGCCTGGGCCTTGGCTCTGCCCGGGCCATGGCTTGGCTTCGCCTCTCTGGCCGCGCATGTAGCCTACAGCTGTGTGGACCACGTGGGGTGAGCCGCAGAATGGCAGGAATGTGCCGCATAGTTCGTCCGAGGTTCGTGTTTTCACGGGGCAAGGATCTATGTTGCGCAGTGGCTGTGGCGAAGAGAACGTTTCGAGTTCCCAGCAAGCTCGAATTACGACAAACTCACGTCAGCTTAGTCCTTACATCAGGTAAGACTGGATGTGACTGGCAAGTGGGAACTACTCCAGACATTTCGCAGTGGAGGGGGAGCAGTCGTACAGCCCAGTCCGCAAACTTGTGAAGTTTCTGTTGGAATGGAACCACGAGGTCTACATCCGGTGGTCGACTTGCGGGGGGGAAAGGGATGGAGATAAAGTGGGTGAAGACAGCGATGAATCGGAATGGTCACACAACCAGCTGCTGCGCTTCCTGGGCTCCATCTACGGGGACCAGATCCCCAAGAATGGACATCCCCCACTCATCCCGTGGGACGGACAGAGAGCTGCCGCAGCCAATGCCATCACGCAGCTGGTTGGGAGGAATGAGAAGTTCCAGGAGGCCTGGCGCTCCTTCTCCGACGCGTTCGATACCCAAAGAGGACAAGACCCCCGACGGCAGCCGTTGGACACGCTGCACCGCTTATCCCTGAGGAAGGACGATCTCGCAGGGGGAACGCTGGAGTTCCTCGCCGGCGAACGCAACGCCGGGAACAGCAACGACACGGGAGACCACTCCCCCGCCGTTGTGTGGCACAAGCGCCCACCAGCCTCGGACGGCCGCACCCCTGGCGATGGCCTCCGCCAGCAGCCCCCGGGAACCACAAAAGCGAGCAAGGAGATAAAGGAGGCACCATCCCCAGACAGGGACTCCCACGGTAATGGCGACAACCCATTCGAGGTAGACTTGGATGAGGACAATCCACCAGACAGGACCGTCTCCATGGTCGGCAGTCCCCCGCAGCAGGCCGAGGAAACCGAAGCCCACGGCCCCAGCGACAGAGATGGTTCCCACGGGCGGACAGTGCTGTGGACAGACCCCCCTGCGAAGGAGGAAGCGGCCACCTGGACGCCGTGCGCAACGGCCCGCTCCCGGGAGGATATGGAAAAAGTCCGTGACAGGAGACTAAGAGGGACAGGGAGCAAGCCAGAGTGCCGTCAGGAGTCTATCCCTGAGGTCGCAGCGCCTGTGCGCGAGACCCGCCCGGCGCCCAGCCCCGGGCAGGACAGCAGCCCAGAGAGACGGCCTCGCCCACAGGCAGATCCTCTCCCACCTCCGCATCAAGACGACCCCCTGGGAGGACTTCCCATGTACATGAGGTCCATCGACGAGGCCGACATCTTGAGAGACGAGCCAGCCCAAGAGAAGGTCATCAGGCTGCAGAAGACGCTCGGAGGCGCATTCAACGGGGCGTGGACAGCTTGGGTCCGCAGGGCAGGCAGCCTGCAAGGTCTGCCTTGGGTCCGCATCCATTCGGACCCCAAGAGGAACACACCGGAGCTTTGCGAAACAAATCTGCGGGCGTGGGAAGCAGCGGGCTACGGCGCCTACAAGATGGTAAGGGACCGCCAGCTCCGGGTAGAATGGTAAAAGGTCACTGATAAGTATCGTAGCCTACTACAGCGCAGCGCAAGGACCAGCGCACCCAAGGGGCAAGATAGCGAGGGCCGCCCATGTCCTTGGGCCGCCAGCAGCAGGACAGTGCCCACCCCTCCGGTCCCACCCGACAGGACAAGCCACCGCGAGTAGGCCCCGTCCTCCAGCACGCACATCGGGGCTGAGCAGCAACACCCGTGGAGCAAGCCCAGAGCTGACACAGCTGCCCCGCCAGCGTGCACCGACTACAGGGGGACCTGGTCGGGTGGCATCCAGCTCTGGAGCCCCATGGCGCCCAAGGCCGCGCTGGGAAGGGTGGGGCCGCCAGGAGAGTTCATGGAGAGGCGCTGGGTGGGGGAGCAGGGAAAAGAGGACCGCTCCGAAAAGTGACGAGCAATGCGCCGACAAGCGACAGCGAGGAAGGGAACTCGCGCGCTGGTAGCCCGGCAACTGGCCCGACAGGGGCCCCCTGCCCAGGGCAGGACCGACGCAGCCCAGAGCCCCCAAGGCGCACGGCCTTGGGCTCCCTTGGACAACGTGTGACCCCCTTCATGGAAGGCTTGCCGCACCCGTATGCCGTGGGGACTCCCCAGAGGCGTGACTTGTCCTCCCCCTAGTGCGTTCCCACTTCGGGCTATCGTTCTGCTGCTTCGGCCGCTCTCCCCCGCCTCTTGTATCGCTTTCAAGTCCTGCGGCTATCGGCTGCATCTCCCCGTTCCTTGTCGCCGCTTCCACTCCGTTTCCAGCGGCTATCGGCTGCTTCCCCCCTTCCTCGTCGCCACTGCTTTTACATTCAAGTCCAGCGGCTATCGGCTGCTAACCCCCTTTCCTCGTCGCCACAACACAGAGCCCGAGGGGGGCGGCTATCGCAGGGCCCACCGCACACCGGCAAGACCAGTCGCGGCTGGCCCCTTGCCCGCTGGGTTCCCACTAAGCGGCCGCACCTGTCGGCACAGCCGGTGGCAGGGCGTGTTTCGCCGCAGCGGCGGGCCGCGGGGTCAGTCTGGCGTTGCCTCCTGGGGTCGAGGTACACCCCCCACCGCCGCGATAGACACCCACGTACTTCGTGGGCCTTTAGCCCGTACGGTCGGCTGAAATAATCCCGCCGTCGGTTTTGGCTGCGTTGTCGGCCCGTGGAGTACCGGATCGGCTCGCTGAAGGCGTTTCCCCACCGCTCCTCGACACGCTTCACCCCGTCACTTTGCCCGTTGTCGTCGCCCTCTGGAGCGATCGCCACTTTTGACCCCCACACACATGGGTATGTAGCCCGTGCTGTCGGCCGATGTATGCTCACCCACGGTTTTGGCCGCTTTGCCGGCCCGCGACGGACAGGTTCGACCGGCTGCAGGCGCCGCCCTTCCGTCCCAGCTAGCTGGTGGCTCTGGCCACAGTTTGTGCCTCCTGGGAGCAGAGGCACCACGCCGCCATGGTTCCCGCGGCCCCCGTGGGCGCTCTCGCCTGCGGTCGGCTGAAATAACCCCACCCAGGCTTTGCTCGGGAATGCGGGCCGTGATGCAGAAGCATTGGCTGAAGGCCCTTCCTCTTGCATCACCTGCCAGTTCGTGAAGTATGCTCATTGGCCTGACCCCCATCGGTGGTTTGTGTGTGGCCGGCTTCTACGCTGACGCTCACGCACTGGGTGTCAAGTGAGTGGATCCGCCACGCTTCCCCTACGGTTGCGCTCTCTTTCTTCTCTCGCGCCTTCCTGCCCCCCCCCTTTCAGGCCGCCGGTCGGTACTCCACCTGCGGGTCCGGCCTGGTTCCTCCTGCTCAGTCGCGGTTGCTTTTTTCTGCTGGCACACGCTCAGCGGCTTTTGCCTGGGTCCGCGTGCTTTCGACAGGGCTACGGTTCGGCCCCACCTGCGGGTTGACCTGTGCTCGTTGGCTGCCCAATTGTGGCCGCCCATTTCCAATTTGTCTGCAGGTGCACTCTGCGCGGTGTCGCGCCAATTATCTGTCGCTGTGCCCCAGCCTCGGTCTTACCGCCCTCTGGACTTCTCCTTGTGGGCCGCGAATCAAAAAAGTAACCCCACCAGCGCATCGGGAAACGATGTCCACACGAGTTGCCATGATCAGCGATGTGGCAGAGCATGGAGTGGAGTAATAGACTGGGTAAGGCGTCGTACCCCAGACGGGAGTGGATGGAGGAGAAATCGGAGGAGGATCCGGAGGAGAAGGAACAGCAGGGAAAAAAGGGGATAATGTGAGGGAGGAGGGAAGGGGAAGGAGGAGGAATAGGCGGATGACGAGGAGGAGGACCAGTGCAAGCTCAAGACTCATCAACGACGTTGGAATCAACCCTCGCTCCAAGCTTCTCTACGTAGGTCCCACAAGGATTCAGTCCCACTGAGGGAAGCGCCCCGTCGGGAGACATCCGTTTTGAAAATCCTGAATCGTGCCAGAATTCTCTGGACTCCAACGCCACGAATCAACCTAATTGCTGCGTCTTGACGGT